TTAATTGCTGTAGGTATGCGGTAGCATGGCGACTGCATCTTATAAATTCTGCAACTTCCTATGCACGAGCCACCTTTTTCTGCCACTGTCTTTGATGATGGTTTCAAGCGAGAATCCGAAACGTCAGGTGAATAAAACCTTTGTTCCAGCGATCGCTTCTTACACTGGTAACATTCACTTCAGTGGATACCTGAAACAACACAGACGGTGGCCATACAGTTAGCCAACCCAGTGTCAAGCTTTCAGAAGGCGTGCATTCAATCCCTCAGAATTCCCTGGCGAACCACTGCCAGGGACAGCCGGTACATACCTGTCGCACTCATATCAATTGTCCACGAACATTCAGTCATCGCATGGGCCTACACAGTCACATGCGCCCCCATGAAAATCTTGGGGTAAAACACTACAGTAAAACTCCACCAACGCACACCGTCCTGACGACTCATCCACCAAATGCAAACCGGAACCACATCATCAGCCATGCGTTTTTGACGTTATTTGGAAGCATATTTTTTTTGGTGGTACTTGGTACCTGACCGACAGTTCGACCGTCATTACCGACGATGTCCACCATGTGCTCTACAGCAAGATGAAGCAGGGACGGTGACTTGCGAGTGAATTAGTTTATAGTGACAGTTGACTTGCACAGCATCTGCCGCACTCCCTCCTCCTCCCCCACCTGGAACCAGTGTCATGACAGAGTCAAGAAGACGGGGGAGGGCGCATGTGGTTGGCACGGTCGGATCCGCACCTAGGCGTGTCACCACACTCCCTGGCCCACACGGTAAATGACCAGGTTTTCTTAAACCAACAACAACTATGAGGGAGGCGGCAGTGGTCCCAGTGTGTGCGACGTCTGCCGGTAACTGGGTCTGCCACTGCACCCCGAAATGTTGGCATTTGTTATTGTGCGCAGATCCGATAACGCCTGCCAGAATCCGATATGGCCTCCTCCTCCTCCTCCTCCTCCTCCCCAAGAAAAAAATTGGGGAAGAAAGGGCGCTCTCATGCAAATTGTTGTGGCGTGAGCCTGCAAATGGACATGTAACCACGCTCCAAATTTTAGCACTTGTTATTGGCTGCGCATTCCCGATAACGCCTGCCGGAATCCCATCTAGTCCCTGTGTTGGTCCAGCACATACACCGCGTGGCCCATTTTAGGGGGAAAAAATTATATGCATGCCAGGAACTCCCCACAAACTGAGAAAAACGGAATTAATCAGTCCCTGGATCTTTTACCAGAGGAGGCCGATGCGGAGGATTTAAGTCGGGCTGGGATGCCAAATTGAATCACAATCTGCGGTTGTCATTGGCCAGTTAGTAACCGAATCGAATAACCCGTCTCAAGTCCTCCGTCAGCTCACACTTTATTTTGCCTTTTGTAAATTGGCATGTTTGGGGAAACTCGAGGTAATTTGCGACCAATCAAAAGTCTTTTTGCTTCTCCTAGAACAGGTCGAAAGAAAGGTTTGGTTAAGTGGAATGAGCCTGAACTCACCCATCGTGGTTTATCTATAGTTCCTTCTGGAATCTGCTGCATAGACGCATGTGATTTAACATGACTTTGATGACATCGCTTCTTTGGTAGGGTGGTCTCTTGGGAGCAAGCAGTTTCTCCACTACCCTTTGTGTGAAAAATTCAGAACTACGACGTTTAGGTCCGGAGTGAGAACAAACACAGTATGTCGGGAAAAAACCTAAAAATAAGATATTGGACGCCCAAAAGTTGGAAGGGTTTGTTTCGTACGAATATGCTGGAAAGTCGCATTCAGCGCCTTGCAAGGTTGGAAGCCACCAGCCTGACTGCGTTTTAAGACCGTGAGTCATGTTATACAACAAAAAATTACCTACTTGCGGATAGCAAGTAACCAATCACACATAACTAAAATGTACAGTTGAAAGCACTAGGGACAATTGTAAATCCCAAGATCAATGGTTCTTAGAAGGCCGTTTGCGCCGAGACGACATGTCTTATCAGAGTTTACTGTGTAACTATTTAAACGCTGTCCAAATTATATAGGTGTTCAATATCCACTGTGAATGGTGCGCATCTTCAGGATAGAGTACATTATTCGACTCCAAACTTTTTTTCACCAAGTCATGGCTCAGAATGACTCCAAAATGGTGAGACGAGTCACGGTTGTGTGGAACTGGCTGTTGGTAGATATGGCAACAGGACCTGTGACAGCCAATAATTTAGGAGAGTGTACATATGCAAAGTGCAAATGTCCCTCTTTCTTATATTTCTTTTACTGCGCTAAAACCCTGGAAATATAGGCGAATATGAAGACTTCAGTTTCGCGATACATCAAAACTGACAACAAAATTGCGGATAGGATTTTCAAATATGGCTAAACCTTTGGAAGGTTATAATACTTCATCCGGAATCACCGCGTCACTCTCCGTAACACGAAACTGCTGCTCACGGCTACCTGTGCGTACATTATTCCAGTCGCCTGCTGAAGCCGATATATATCTATGTATTGCGCCAGAAAATCGATATAAAATACGTTCCTAATAGCGTTTTAAAGATGAATGTTCTGGTTGTCACCATTTCACTAGGAAGAGTCTAACGTACAGCTGGTTTTACCGGCGTAGCAGTCACGGGGTCAACAACCAATAGACGTTGCTTGAGCTCCAAGACGCACAATCACATCAAATTGCCAACTCGGGCGCTTCGTGGGGCTGTACGAGTGTAGCCCGACTTAACACTTGTTAGTTTGGAGATAACGCATCCGGTGCTTAGGTTTTGCGCTTGCAGTGGCGAAAAGGTATCTTAGTAGAAACTTGAGAACATTCCCCACGTCAAAATCCTGGACTTTAGTATTCGGATTTGGAGAAGCCCAGGGAAAGAACCGAAGTGTCCAGCTTCCGAGAGTTTACGACTTATGACCCTCACTTCCTCAAAAGAAGAACTGAGGAAGGTGCGAGGGATTTGAGAGAAGCCGGATTCCGTGATCGGCAGAAGAGAACGTGTCGGCAGTGCGTCGAGGCCACCTGGCATGTTTCGACGGATGCGCCTGCCTCCATCATGTCCCAGCAAAAATATACCAGATGATAGAAGGCTGGCCGCCCCAGCCCACCGCGGAATGACAGTTTGACCGTCGTCACCGACGATGTCCACCGTGGGATAACTTGCGCGTGAACCAGTCTAGTGATCATGGAGTTGCACTGCATCTACCGCACTCCATCCTCCCTTACCCGTTTGAGCCCAGCGCCACGACAAAGTCAAAATGGCCGGAGGTGGTATCGGGCGCAGTGGCCGACAAGGCTAACCATCCCGTCTGCGCGTACCACACATGATCTGGGCCGGCGCTTCACGCATACGAGAAAGTGGGGGAGGGGTCTCGGGCTCCAACTAAGTGAGAGTGCTACAGGGGCTACATTCCGACCCGATCCACCGTCCTGAGGGCTGAGTTACCCTATGAGTTGATAGTCTTCAAAGCCACGACTTTTAGCGCACCGTGATAGTTTAGAGATGCGTTAGATTGTTTTAATGCGGGATGGACACGGAACGCCATTGAAACGCAGTCCCCAGAGTCGACCTCATTCTCTCTTCCCTCTCCTAGGCACCAATCCACTGTCTGAGCTGGTCAATCATTTGACGCGAGGATTGGGCAAAGATGGCTAACTGAGCTAAACAGTTTGTCTGAGCGTGTTACACACCACCACTCCCCCCTGAACGGCAGACCAAGTTTCCATAACTTATCACACAGACGAAACGCGTCAGTGTCTGCATTGGCGACATCCTGCGTCCGGCCCACTCGCCACCCTTGGCATCAGTATGGCGCTTGACCACGTACTACCTTGCTGTCAGTATCGTCATTGTCGCTATTTGACGTCATTGTTGGGAGGCCCCAGCGTAGGACTCCGAAAAGGCGACGTGGCATACGCACCCAACCACTTGTCTGTGCGACCGCCATGTAATCTCGTCCCATAAAACCATTACGAGTCAACTAGTTGAGCCGGCAACTAGGGATTACGTTGGCAAAGTGAAGCACATCTGGTTTCATGAAAGCGAACATGCGTCGTCTACTCATCTGAGGGACGAGAGCTCATGCAACCAATGTACACAGAGGTTCACTCAGCACAGATTGTAAGTTTCCATAAGTCTTCGCAGGTTTAGACACCAATTTTCCAGACGGGATTTACTGAAGGTGCGATCATGCCGGCTGTAACCGACAATCAGCGAATCTGTATAATTTCAACCCAACCAAAGGTCCAAAATCTCTCTATGTCTCGGCAGACTGTGTAAAGCCAGGTTATGAGTTCATCACCTCACTACCTCCAGTTAGAAATCAGCGTTGGATTCTGTGCTAGGGGGTGGAAGACGAAGAGCGTACTGTAAACCGCTTCCTAAACTCATTTTCGTGATAACATAGCAACTAGTACGGGCTGTGTCATCCAAAAAGGAGTCGACACACTCTACAGATACAAATAATTGAAAAGCCTTCGGTTTCTAGCCTTCCATGTGCATGGCGCAGCATTCGCAACCTTAAAAAGGCGTAAACGCAGGTGTTCTCGGTGCATTCAGGTGCCCATGACAACTGTTGCATCGTGGCCGGCCTAAGTATAATTCCTAATATTTACGAAAACAACGAAAACAGCATCGATCCGAACCACTCGTTCTGCCGCAGCCTAGCCTCATGATATCTGGAACCATCTACTTATTCAGGCTGACAGCATGAGTCCGTTGACCTTATGGACAAGTTGTGGGGGAGGAGGCGGCAATTCGAGTGACGTGACACTGAATCGAGATACGAGATCTGGAGCAAAGGTGGGGCAGGAGTTGGAAGGCGTCAAAATCGCGCCTTCCACAGGTCAGACCGAACATGTATTAGCGAAAGCAGTCAGCAGGCCAACTAACAGGCGATGTACCAAATCAATAATACAATAAACAGAAAGGCGCGGAGCAAACAGGGGAGAATATTGTATCACAGCGCACTCAATTGAAGGACGTTCTACCAAACTGACGCCATACACAAGTATTTACAATACAGCTAAACGCATTCCGAGTGCTCAGGGAAGAGATGCGTATTCCTCCAGTCATGTTCCACGTCATCAAGGTGACAATCGAAATCAGAAAAGTCAGCCAGCCTATTCAAGTAGGGCTTCAGGAACTCCACAGCTGAGGGCTCTACACGGAGACTGAGTGAGGCACATTAGAGGGAAGTCGCAACCACTTACCCGCTAGATTCTCTCCATTTGCCTTCGCGAAAAGTGTGCAGGGATAGCGAGGCGCTTGACGGTTGTTTTAGCCGGTCATTTCGAACCATAAGCAGACAGGCTTGCTTGCTATTCTCCCGTATTTTATCAGCTATCTTAAAGGCTAGAGGGTTTGGCCTAGGGAACAAAGAAAGGGCAGAACGTTGGAATGGAGCTCAATTCCACATACGAATTCGCATTCAGAAGTTCGTTTGCCTGGTAATAGCCGCAGATAGTGAGTTCCTTGTGTGAACAGTAGGACTCGATCTAGAGGAAGTACATATTTAGAGATGGCACCGAACCTGATAGAATGCAATCTCTAACATGGGCGCGAGTGTTAGCGCGGAATGGAAGAGGGGAACAGAATCAACGACATGTATTTCGCCATCCGGTTCGACTTCCCCAAGGAGGACGCCGTTCACAGCGGTATGCGGATATTTTGAAACGTGCAGAATAATCTTGGCAAAGGCCACCTTGCTGACAGACACAGTAGACATGTTTGGGTTAGTCGTGCGGGTACACGTTTGTTTCCGGGTGTCTGAAACATAGAGCAAACACTAAGCGAGCAAGCAAAAAACAATACACTGGTAACGCTCACACAAGAATGAGTGAATCAAGAACGCACTGCATTTTAAGGGTATGACAAGGAATAAACGGTAATATTTAAATAGCGCGCACAAGTAGAAGCGTAAAACGGGGAGTTCAACAATGGCTCCAATATAGGCATGGTGACATTTCTAGCCGTGAGATCGAAATAAACGACAAAGGTTGAAGCGCGCAAAAGCACCAAAGACTCAAAAGCAGACTTGCGGGATTCGAGATTCAAACAAGGGTTCATTGGTCATCACATGTTTACAAGTTAAACGCTCTGCTGTTGAGTCAAGAACTGATTTTTCATGTAAAACTTAACCTGATAAAAGGGCATACGGACTCTGGCTTCTCTATTTCTTTTTAAATTAAAAAATACCAGCCGGTCTGAAACGCAGGTAATTGGAGAGATTTACCACGGACTTTTAAAATAAGAGTGACCACGACAGAGTCTCGTATGAAAGGACACTTATGTGGATACGGCTGTGTTTTTAGGATACTGAATGAGTACACAGTGTTAACTTAAATTAAATTTCGAATTCGAAAGTCCTAAGCAGCAGTCCATGAGTAAACCTTGGAGATCGGTCGCAAGGTAATTTTTTCGACTGACGCGGCGGAGCCAGCCTTGAATGTAGTTGAGCTCACCTTCCCAGTTACAAATATGCATAAGGGCAAAGGGCCGCTGTCCTAACGAAAGCCAAGAGGATGGACATAGTTTACAAGGAAAGGCTGGTATGAGCTATTCTGAAATAAGCCAGTACCATGCGTGGCGAGGAAGGCACCATTAATGAAAGAATAGAAATAAAAATATTTTCGGTATTTTTTTAAAAATCCGTAACGCCTGATTCGATTTTGGTATGGAGGATGACTGAGATGTTGAGGATGATGATTGCCGGGTCAGAAAAACAAGGTATGCAATTTTAACAGAGTTTATTTGTGCTACCGCGGCTATGATACGATTGGTTGATAGGCATCTGTGCAATGACTAAGACACCCACTCAGCAACACGCTTCTGTTCTGGAGAAGGTTCAGCTGCGACCCACACCAAGCATCGTACATAAGACTTCTCGAGATGCCATACGCGTCGGAAAACACTATACGAGGAAATAAGATCGGGTTGGGCAAGTGAGTTAGCTCAAATATCTGTCAGGGATATTCAATGTGACACAGGATCCTTCCCGTAAGACAGGATGATCGGTTAAGGGGGAACTGCGCGGTTTCTGAACCCGGAAAGCCCAGCTTTCTTAAAACCGCCATGATTGAGAACATACTGGCACCAAGTGTAGGTAGGGCCATCATCCAATATCTACTGGAGAGATAATTTAAACCCCAGTCTTATTGATAGTCCTGTCACAACAGCAAGAAACAGTAACAGTCACTCACATGCAACCGAGCTGGAGTAAAAAATAGAGTCGGGACAGATTAAAGTATAGCTGTAGGAATACAAAGACGTGAGCCTTCTTCAAAGCGTTAGCGATGATTTCTACCACCGATTCCCTGCATTTATTTATAGATATCAATAAATATGAAGATGCGTACATCAAATTCTTATTTAAGAAGTCAGTGCTCTGTAGTAGCTCCGAGTGTTAGGTGCATGACTAGCACATGAAGCTCTATATGGCGGGACTACTCGAAAAGAGATAGTGTTAAATTTAGAGGGGTTTCTTTCAACCATCTAAAGTTGGCCACCCTACAGTAGCAGGATAAATTGCTTCATTTGGCTAAAAATATCGGCATTTTTACGGGAAGGGGTGCATACCAAGACACTAAAACGGCCTTCTTGGTGTATCTTTATGACGCACGATGGACAGAGAGGCGCAGACGCAAAGAAGGCCAAGCACGCGGTCAAAGCCGGCGCGCTAAGCTTAAGCGCATTTGAACAAGCATTTCTTTGAAGCACAACACGCTTAAGATGCGTGTGATAACGACACCAGAATCTTACTCAGAGGTCTGATTAATTTGCAGGCAGTTCTGAAAAATTGACTGAATATGTGAACTTAAACAGAAGTCGGTTACGACATAGTGGGTATTAGTTGATATATAACAGCGGCAACCAGGGAATAATTAATTTCTGTAGCAAGACGACGGTTTGCCAGTGAGACATTTGCTGCACCAAATTAACGCTCCGATATATGAGGGTGCCCCGGTTTCAGCCTCACACTCACAATAATAGGCAACATAAATACGTTGTCGAGAGCGTGATAAGAACATGCTTATTTTAGTTTGGACATCCTTCAGACTGGTTTTAGTAGTGTCTGAAAAAGCGCTGATTACTTTTCTTGAATATGCTGGTTTCAGGCTGGATAGAAGCGACAAAAGCACGGGTTGCGAAACAAATAATGCGACCGAGACCCTTTTCAAGATTTTCAGAGCCTTTGGGAAGAAACGGCGCATTGCGGTCTCCACTGACCAAAACGAGAAAATAGATGCATACCGCATAAGAATCTTCTGTCGCAAAGTCCAAAATGCTTCGCGCTTCGGTCCGATTACTCTATTCGAAAGCAGCTAAAGACAGACCACCTAAAGGTCTTTTGGGAGGTCATGAAAATCTGTGTTGCGTTTTGATAAATTTTGGTAGAAATAGGTCCGTCTAATCTTTTCGCACTTCGAAGGCGTGTAAACACAAATATCTGCTCTGGGAGTTGACGGGTGTGAGGGTTAGGAAAGAACAATCGGATCAGTATTAGCGATCCTCGGAACTCTCTCCCATATATCACAGAATTCTGTGAAGACACATTTGGAACAATCTTCTACTGTGGAAGATCACAAATACTGCGTTTCTAGTGGTCCTTAGACGTTGGCAGTAGTATGCGAATGCTTAGGAAGTGGTAATTGCCAACCCTTAATTCAGACGCGTCGCACAGATCATTATAATAGTATGGAACTAAAACCGGCTCCATGTTAGGCGTCGAAAATAAGTCGGTTTATTAAGAGGATGAGGCTTCGCCCCTAAGCACAGTGTGTAAGAAGAACTTCAGTTACTGTCTCCAAGAGCTGGTGGTCGAAAGTAGACTTCTATCATTTCGCTTACATGCTGCTCCATTTAATGATGCATGCGTCGAAGTTATGCAAGGTAGGAAAATCAGGTCAGTTAGCAATATTCTTCATGTTCTTAAGCAGACCAATATTAGCGTTGGGATCCGTTCAGTGTGGTAAAAAGATAGGCATGGCTCAAATAGTCAGTAGGCTCTGAGCTTTTATAGCTAACCGAAGATCCTCCGTATCGCTAATGAACTTCTTAGTCTCTTCGGACGTGATTGCAATTGCACCTAAATACATAACCACTCGTTTAACTTGGCGATATTTTCTGTCTGCCCTCGTTATACTGTTTAACAGTCATCAACGTTCAGAGATGGATGAGTTTCCGGTACTAAAGATGGATTCAAAGATATGTCAGGAGACTATATTTTCTGGAAAATGGTGACTATGTCTTTAGTCTGGGGGTTTTGGCGATGCTTCTTTAGGTTGGACACAAGTTTGCCGCTATTATACTGGAACTACTATCATTGTGAGGGACCGGTTCCACAGAAGGTCCGCGTTTTTCCTTAAGATTCGCCCTTGACATTATCCGGGTTGTAGTCAACATCGTTCTTTCATCACGTTGATTCCCACACTAGCTTGCGACCTCTAAAGAATTCGGCTGGAAAGTAGTACGGCCGAAAAGTATGTTGCCTGGGAGTTTGGAAGTTGGTTTTCTGGATGACAACAACGTCGCCTCATCCATACTGCCGTACGCAATCTGTCAGGCCGCGGTCGCACAGTTTCCGCCAGGAGTGTAGGTTCTTCCATAAAGGAAGTCTGTGAACACACCTGGTCACGATGTGGGTAGCTGCTATATGCCCTCGACTCCCTAATCCCATTTGGGTCTGCATCAGCATGGCGTGGCTACAGAGTACGCCGTTTCTTCCCGAGATCACAGTATAGGGATTTGTTTCCCCACTCCAACTTCAGTACTTTTTTATAGGCGATTGAAATGAAAATGGCTTAGTTTACTTGACCGGCTTTTGCTGGCTGCGCTTGTCCTTCTTGACATTTTGGTCGTCGCCGACGACAGTGTCTACAATGTACTCCGTACGGCTAAGAGCGCGCGGACGATGACTTGAGCTTCGATAAGTTCATGGTGACAGTACGCTTGCGCTGCATTTACCGTACTCTCTCCTTATCAACCCTCTGCGACCGGCAGAGTTAAGAAGACCAGAGTTTGAATTGAAGGAAATGGTCGACGAGACCGACTGGTCCGCGCACCATAAACTAAGTTCTCATACAACAGCTGACTTGGGGTATCATGGAGAATACGCTAAGATGGAGCCATTGCACCCTGATTCTCTGCCTTGAAAGGAGAACAGAGTTATCTTAGCGGTCGACAGTCTTTCATACCACAGCCTTTGGCAAGCCCCGGTAGATTAAAGAGCATCAAATTCATTATATTGAGAAACATACACCAAGTGCTGTAGGACGCAGTCTCTCTATCTCTCGTCCCATTCCAGGGCGTTAATGCCTTCTCCAAGCCGATGAGTCATTTGATGCCTAGGTCGGGCACTAATGGCTGACTAGACGTGAGCTGGCGCTCAGGTGTGCCGCCACTACTCCCATTCGGCATTTGTTTTTGGAGCGCAGACCAAATAACGCGTGCCGTGTTATGATTTAGTCGCCCTTTTGTTCAGTGCATCACCCGCGAGACCCGACGTAGGGTCGCACTCCGCCGAGCACAATAATAATATTAAAACTATGGCGCTAAGGTGCGCGAGGTTCTCTGTTTCTGTGAGGTGGGTTCCACTGACAGTGATGCCGGGTTCGACGCACTCAGCAACTGGTATCATTTGGCGTAGGACCGTTGTTTTTCTTCGTGCCGATGATTACTTCAAATTCGGAACGGAAGACGACGATGAGATGCTAATTAGGCTGCAGATACCCTTTAGTGGTTTTTTTAGATGGGAGTATTTCGCGAACAATAGGTTTGAACGCTGACCATAATGACTGTCAAAGATGCGTGCACATGATGAATCTGAAGCAGTTTTCCGATGTTGACCCCCAGACGATCCTCTCGCCAGGCGTTCATCAACATAACACAGAACATGGAACTGGACGGAATGGAAGTGAGTACGCAGACCCCCTTCATTGCACTGGTCACCGTAGATGACTCAGAGACTTCCCATTGTTGTTGACGCGATCTATCAGCCCGTCGTGAAGTTGTCTTACTGCTTTGTGCGAATTTTTGCCGAATTCGTGTTTTAGTACGATTTTGTGGAATATATCGCGATTTACTCTGCTAAGGGCTTCCGTCAGATCCATTGAAGTTAGTTATTTTCTGGCATTTTTGTGCTGTTGGCGGACAGCGAAGATCACGTCTGCTGTTTAGCGGCGTTTTCAGAATCCTCACGTGACACGTGAACCACTTGAATTGGAAGTGGCATTTAGGTACTGGCGTTGTGCGATGATGGATGATGGTTTTATATGGTGTGGGTGTTGGTGAGGGAAGTAATAATGGTGTGGCGTAGCCAGCGGTTGTCTACCGTGGGTTTTCGTGAGAACGCATGTGGCCTATTAGGCTCTTGAGGTAGCTAAACGCGCGAGGGCAGTTGGGGAGGATGCGGCGAGTGTATGTTGGCGTTTCAGACGCTAGTTCACAAGTCTCTGTGCGATAGATTCGCAAGTGATGGACCAAGCAGACCTGTGAGGTGATCGCAATGGGGACAGGGATGAACCGAGTCCACATCGCTACAGGTGGGAATGTTGATAGTGATAATAGGTAGTGAGAGGACGTCAGATGTCGTCCCATTGGTGGGAGGAGTGCGTGAAGTTGTGGTAGTGATGCTGGCTGCTGCGGTCGGTACAGGATCTGGAGCAGAGTGGATGGTGTCAGTGGATGGTGGCAGCCGAGCAGAGACAATGTGATCGGGGATGATGGGTCTGACGGTCAGCGCAGGGTCAGGGCAGGGACGGGTGTGAGAGAAGAAGTAGAAGTTGTCGGGTTGATGGCCAACTATATCGGAATATGTCCAACAAGACCGATCCGTGCGCGGAATACACGTTGGCAGCGCGAGCATGTTGGAAGCGGCGGAGACGAAGCAATTGTGACTTGCGAGCCTCCCTTTTGGCTTAGGCGGCGGGGATACGATTCGATTCATAGATGACTATGCCGGTCTTCACTTCTCTCTGCCATGCCGGTCTTCCGTGGGCAAGGTTCTCCCATGTCGTCAGGTTGATCTGCAGCTGTTTCAGAGATTCCTTTAAAGTGTCCTTTTAGCGCAGCTTTAGTATTCGGCGAAGGCAGCTGAGATGGATGTAGTTAAACTTTTTTGCTTGGTTGGAGTAGACGGTCCAGGGCTCCGCTCCGCAGAGAGGTGCTGTCAGTGGTGCTCCGCTGTCGTCGGAAGTCACATTGGCTTTCCGACAGGAGTCTTTGTTTGAGGTGCCCATTGAGGGAATTGAGAAGGGTCAGGGCAAAGATCTTCCAGGCGATGCTTAGCAGAGAGATGCCTTTGTAACTATCCCAGAGTTGCCCGTTGTCCTTGCGCTTGTAGAGGTGAACAATGGTTGCCTCCCTGAATTCCTGAGGAACTCGTTCACAGCACCACATCTCCTTTAATAGCGTGGTGGGTTGGTCCATCAGGTAGTGGCCGCCGTGCCTTTAGATTTTGACTGGGATTTCATCGGTTGAGAGTTGTTGCACGGCACGAATAGTTTCTGAAAAGGAGGGTGGAAGATCCAGGTCGGCATTGATTTCCACTTAGAAGAGCCGGTCGATGGCTGCGTCGGGGAATGTGGAGGGACGGTTAAAGATGTTTCTAAGGTTCTCGACTTGGTGCCTCAGAACCTGCGACTTCACTGTCAAAAGCGCTGATACATCGGAGCTGAGAAGCGGTGCAGGTCCTATTTTGGAGGGCTGTAGATCGTCTTGATAACAGCGAAAAAAATTCTTTGTTTCTTGCAGTCGGCGTATCCCTGGAGCTCCACGGCCTTGCGAGCCATCCATGCGTTTTGATTTTCTAACAACCGTTGCTACACCGGGCGGCGGCATTATTAGAAGGCCGCTTTGTTCTCATCGGTTGGCCGGCCGAAGTGGGATCTGTGTAGCCTGTGCTCTCAGCCAGCAGGTTACTGATGGCGTGGTCATTGTCGTCGGACCAGTCTTGGTGGTGGCGACGTGCACGGCCGAGGATCGTCAGAACGGTCTAGTGAACGGCATCCCGTAGGCGGCACCATCGAGTATCCACGTGGGCATTTCCATCTACAGCTGACAGATCTTCCGGCCGTTGGTTCAGTTGATTACTGAAATGCAAACGATACACAGACAATCATAACAAAACATTATTAAGCTCAACTGGGGTCGCTTATCTTGTCGCCTGCGAGGTTGCAGTCAGAGCCTCACATTGAAGATGACAAGGCGGCGGTCCGCCCAGCCATCGGTGTCGCAGATCGCCTTGGTCACCATCACGTCCTGACGACCTCGCCGCCGGACGAAAACACAGTCCAGCAGCTGCCAGCGCCGCGATCTGGGTGAATCTGGGTGGTCTTCTCCCGCATCAGCAGACGGGAAAAGGTATTGGTCAGCAGGAGGCGATGTTCAGCGCAGGTCCACAGGAGAGGGAGACCATTGTAGTTGTAGCCGGTGATTCCGTGAAGACCAAGCACTCCTCTCCAGGCAGCACAGTCTGTGTCGACGCGAGCTTTTAAGTCGTCAAGGACAATCAACTTATCCACTTTCGGCACAGAGGCTAGGAGAGCGTGGAGGTCCTCGTATTACTTTGCCTTCGCCTCGTCTGAGCCGGTCACTGACGAGCATACATAAATGTTGGTAACGGTGACGAATTTATCTGCCTGGAGAGGCAGGTGGAGGCTCATCAGACGTTCGTTGGGGTCCTGCGGCTGATAGGGTAGTCGTCTCACGATGTTCTCCCGCGTGACAAAGGCGACGCTCGCGTCACGTCACTCTGCTCTGAGGCGGCTGCTCCAGAAGAAGATGCAGCTTCTGTCCACATCTTCCAATTGACCTTGTTCGGAGAGACGAGTCTCATTGAGTGCAGCAATGTCCACCCTGTA